TTCCCCAAGCCACAGTCATTAGCAGCAGGTAGAGGGTCCCAAGTACACAGTAACCTTTAGTTACTCACAAGACCACATTCCTTTCCTATGTAGACTCACCCTCTTAGCTGTAGACTACCCCAGGGATAACATAAGTATTTCACTTTAGTATATACTAACTTTGTCTTTACTAAACCAAACAGGATTTATTTCTAGGCTCTTGTAATTACTGTCACCCTAGCCCAAAGCTGAAGTTCTCAAAAGTTGACCCGAGGCTCAAAATTCTCAAGCCAATCTGGGACTAAAGTAATCAAGCTGGTCTGGGACTGAAAATTCCTGGAAACCCTCTCATCCAAAGACCCTCCCTGGTAATCAAGATCTAAGAAGAAGATGCACCCAAAAAATGGACTTCCTCGTTCTAAAAATTATGACTGTTTATACCTAAACAAAACAGACGTCATGTTTTATGATTATTGTTCCTATACTTTGAATGCCTTACCTTTTAGAGCAAAATGTTTCCCTTACTTCCCCTCACCCATCCCACTGCTGTAAAACTCCTTCCATAATAAATACGCATGACTCCTGGCCATCAGGGCTGCAGTCTGGAGTTTACTCTGGCTGTAGCCGGCTAAGAACATGCTAAGGGCATGAGGTCTTAGTCTGATTTCTGTTCACCCTTTAGTCGCCTCCCTGTGCACCTGCCCCGGCTGGGGTACGGCTCCCGGCACTTATTCTCCATTCTTTTGGGATTTGGGGCATGCACACACACAGCTGGCATGGTTTTCAAGCCTCCACACCTGGGATTCAAGCCTCGATCAACCAGTGACATAACCACTACACCACCTGCCAGCCCGTCTCTTCCTCTTTAGAAGCAACAAACTAAACATTTGGAAAGAAGAATTGAATTTATATAGAAATTTACATAGGAGAGTTATTTTGAGAACTCTCCACTCCTGGTCTATGGGCAGAGTTTCAGTAATATAAATCACTAATAAACAGAGCAGATGGCATAGTGGTTACAGTGCTGGACTCCCACATGGCCGACTGTGGCTCAAGTCCCAGACCTGGAAGCTTGAAACTCACACGGGGCACATGTTCCTGTGTGCTTAAAATCCCGAGAACAGAATGGTGGAGAAGGCACCGCAGTGCAGCCATGCCCTGGGGGTGAGTTCTCACTTTCTGTCTCTCTGGCTCTCTCTGTGTCTCCAGCAAGCACATGTACCCTGTAGCAAAAATGTCTCTCTAAAAAAATAAAATAACACAAGTGGGAGGAAGTGGACAGAAGATGGGAACAGCAGCTGCACTAGAGGGTGTGAGACTCAGGAGGCCGCAGGCCCGAGACCAACGTGAGCCCCACGCACTCAGCCCGCGGTCACGCTCCTCCGGGTCCCCTTCCCGCTTCTTCCTGCAGCGCGCGCTGAGCCGCATGGCGAGGATGTAGACGTGGCTCAGCACGATCATGGGTGGGGGCAGGACGGGCCTGTCGTGGAAGGTCATGATCAGCTGGTACCTCTGGAACTTCCACACCTGGTTGGATATCGACTTCACTTCGAAGAAGGTATTGCTTGAGAGGAAGACACCACCCCATTAGCCATGCCGGTGTCCAGAGGCCCCCATCGCCAGGCCAGCCCCTGCTGCCTGTTCGCTGAGCTCGGCCTGGTCTACACAGGACAGCCTAGCCGTGTGGGTAGCAGGTGAGTTACGTCGCTAGCTACCGCTATCTTGAGAGCCCGCCCGGCCTGCACTCGCGTGCTCAGAGCGTATGTGTGCACACGAGCTGTCAGTGGGTCCCTTCCCGGCCGATCGATTCCTGAACCTGCCTGGCAGGGAGCCCTATGTTCGTGGGAAGGGAGAGGACAGCTGGGCGCGGCCGGGCAGCGTGCTCAGGGCTGCGTGTCCCCACGAGGCTGGGGCCCTCCCAGGGCTTAGCATCCTCATCTGTCAGGCCGGGGTTGCAGCCCGGCTTTCCAATGCCTGGGTCGGTTCTAAGAGTTTACATGTCTACAAAGGTTTCCCCTCCTTTTCTATCTGCATAACTAAACGCATGTTTTTCAATATTTATTAAATGTAGTCAGCACACTGACTATATCATGCCACATGGGCCAGTTTTATATGAAACTTGATTTGACATTTAAGCTACTTTTCCCGTAGGGCATTTTATCTTCTATGTAAGCGACATGAGAACCGGCATCATGCTGCCCTGCAGTGACTTAGCCGCTGCTTTCTGAGCCTGCGGTGACGAGGCAAGCAGGGCTTCATCCCCCGCCTGCGCCTCAGGGCTTCCGCCAAGAACGCTTCGCCGCGTGTGACAGTGCTGAGCAAGAGCACACGCACAGCGTCCACGTGGCAAGGCGTGACTTAGGAACACGGTAAGACCAACAGGCTGAACGGCGAGGACGCGCGGGGGGCGATACTCCCCAAGAGCCCGCGCGGCCGTGCTCAGAGGAGACACAGCCTGCAGGGCGGGGTGGCCGGGACACCGGGATACGTACTTGAAGACGGCGATGAGCAGGTTCACCAGGAGGATGTTGGCCACCAGCAGGTAGCAGGCCATGAGGGCCGGCGTGAGCCATGCGCCCGGGATGCAGGGCGGCAGCCGCTTGCCTTCCTCGTCATACAGGTCCTGGCCACAGGGAGCTGCAAGGACAGGGGCACGCCGCGGTCGCCTTACACGCCATGGGGACAGCATCCGCTGCGTGGCTATGACGGGACCCAGCTCCTTTTCTTTCACGTTTTTTCTCAAATTTCAAGAGCAATTATTTCCACGTGAAAAACGCCCATGCAAAGAAGACAAGACATGTAACACACACCTGCACCCAGTCGCCATTGGCCGTCCGTCCCGCCTGGCACCGGCCAGTTTCTGGGTTCTGCTTGCTCCCTGGGAGCCCACGCCTCTTACGCAGACGGCCCCAACTGCGCAGCCCCACCCCTGCTGCCTCGGTCGCACGTGTGCAGTGGATCGGAAAGCGGTTCCCCATGCGGGGTGGGCAGGCGTCCCCCACCCACCGTGGTGAGCCGGCATTCGGCTGTCACGTTGGAAAAGAACCTTTTTCTCTCTGCTCTTCGAAACACACTTTTACCACAGGAGGCCCATTTCCCAGTGGGAAAGAAACGGCGGCCTGGCAGTGAACCGGCAGTCTGCTTCCCTTGAGTTTCAGCTTCCGCCACGGACGCCAGGCCACAGGGACGCCTGGACAGTACAGGACTGCCGCGGCCACTTAGGGGAAGCCAGCTGCTAAGCGCACCGCACGGGCGGCCTCCTGGGGAACTTACGGTTAATCTCCATGGCGTAGACTGCAGCGCCACAAGGCAGAGGTTGTGTTGTGTTTTGTTTCCGGTCACGTTGGGGGTGGAGGGAGGAGAAGAAACAGGACGGTGAGAGCAAGCTTACATGGATGACGCGGCAACACCTGCGCTGTCTTACTATCCAGAAACAGACCTCAAGCTCGGGAAGGACAAATGCCTACTTGGCGACCGTGACGTGTTCAGAAGACGTGCACACCTCGGTACCTCTAGCTAGCGCGTTCTGCGTGTTTATTTTACCTCATGTTGGAAGCCCAGCAGACCTCAGTGCCTACTGCTAAAAGCACTGTGAAGAGGCAGGGTCCCCCGCAGCTGGTCGCTGACTCGCAGGCGGCAGTCGAGCCTGCCCTGTATTCCAACACGGACACAGATGCAGTTACCACGTCACAGATCGAGAACCAAAACCGGGCGGGTGCTGCTGCGGGGGTCACACACGGGGCCTGCGAGGCGGGCTTGTGTCTGGGCCTCCCGACCCGTCTCCCGGGTGACTGGGACCGGATGGGTCCTGGCACGGGGACCCTGCTGGGAGGGCCTGTCTCTGTCTCTTGGTGTCTGTCTGTCTCTCTCAAAGAAGAAATGAATAAACTTAACAAAAATAGTTGATAAGCCTATTCTCTTTGAGTTTTTTCTCACGTTTCATGAGCAATTATTTCCATGTGAAAACCACCCACACAAAGAAGGCGAGGAGACACGTCCGCGCCCAGACACGGCCACTCGTGGTTTGCCCCACCACCGCTCTGTCCCGTTTCTGGGCTGTCTCGATGCACTTGATGTTACCAAAAATAGCCTCAAGGCCACCTCCCGACCCTCTCTCCTTACCTAACTTAATTGAAGAAAAACATCAAAATACAAGCTATGGCTGGAGAGGAGACTGTGCCCTTCTGACATATTAAATATATTTATTTAAACTATTTAATAAATAAAGATATTTAAATTAATTTTCATTTTTTTACCTAAGCTGGTTTTTTGTTTTTTTTTGGTTTTTTTTGGAGAGGTTTTTCCTATAGGACACATGTGCTTGCCAATAAGACACAGAGACACAGAAAGTGAGAAATCACCCCCCTGGGGAGATGGCCAGGCCACAATCCCTTCTCCATTCTCCTCTCAGGATCTTGGGCATGCTTGCACACGCGCCCTGTGTGAGTTTAAGCCACTGGGTCTGGGATTCAAACCACGGACGACTACATGGGAGTCCAGCGACATATCCATTACGCTAACTGCTGGTCCCTACCTAAGCTTTTAAGACCAAACCAGGATTTTACGTTCTGGTTTATCAAGCGACAAGCATTGATGGTCGCTAGTCAGCTCCAGTATGGCACCCCCACGCTCGACGCTGCACTGCGAAAATGGAAGGGAGGTTCCACGTGGGCACACCGCCCAGCCCAGTGGTGCAGGGTGTCCTGACACACCTCCCAGAAGAGGCGCTCGCACTGCCCACCCCCTAGGGACAGGGCTCTGGGTACAGCGGACGTGGATGGCCCCTGACGTCTATGATCAACGCGGAGGAAGTATGGCGAGGACATGGCGGCCGGAAGCAGCCCCTCATGGGAGTGTCAGGTGTCCTGGGAAAACGGGTTCAAGGATGGCGGGGTTTCACGCTCCCTGGCTCAGAGCCCAGGCCCGTCCCCTGCTTACAACCCCATTTTCTCTCATAATAAAAAGAGCCCTCATGAGTGGAGAGAAAGCCTGGCCACGTGGAAGATGGGCCTTGATGGCTCCCTGCCGCGGAACCTCCTGGAACACTCCTGGCTTTATTCCAGCACGGAAGGCCGTGGAGGTACAAGCACTGCAGCCGCGGCCGCCGGCAGGGGTGCCTGCCAGCTCACACACGGTAGGTGAGACTCAGGTTCTAGACTCAGATGCAGTTTGGAGCGGGGGGTGGCAGGTGCCCGGAAGCCTGCACGCCAGCATCTGTGAGGCAGTGGGATGCCGGTGCAGGACAGACTGTTTTCCAAATCGGTCCACGCTAATTTGGAACTGGCCACCTGCCTGGAGGCGGGAGCTCTTACTATGGATTCTGCTCTTACGGTCTATCTGGTCCGCGAACACCTCCCCGTAGATCATCCAGTAAGGCATGTAGAAGATGTTCCGGGCCAGCTTCCAGGACGGCTTCTCCTCCGGGTGCAGGATGGCCTGGCGGGCCACCCCGAAGCTCATGAGCACCACCAGCATGATGACCACAAAGTAGAGCATGTCGATCATCTGTGGGGACACGAGGGGGCACGTCGGTCATCTGTGGGGACGCAGGGGAGCACGCGGTCACCCGCGGGGGACACGAGGGAGCATGTCAGTCATCTGTGGGGACGCGGGAGAGCACGTCGGTCATCTATGGGGACACGAGGGGGCACGTCGGTCATCTGTGGGGACACAGGGAGCACGTCGGTCACCCGCGGGGGACGCGGTGGACCGTGTCAGTCATCTGTGGGGGACGTGGGGGGGCACATCGGTCATATGTGGGGACGCAGGGGAGCACGTCGGTCACCCGCGGGGGACACGAGGGAGCATGTCAGTCATCTGTGGGGACGTGGGGGAGTACGTCGGTCATCTGTGGGGACACGGGGGAGCACGTTGGCCACCCGCGGGGGACGCGGTGGACCGTGTCGGTCATCTGTGGGGGACGCGGGGGGACACGTCAGTCATATGTGGGGACGCAGGGGAGCATGTCGGTCACCCGCGGGGGACACGGGGGAGCACGTCGGTCCCCCG